GGTTTTCCATCCTTTTCTCAGAGGCTTCTATAGGTGTTGCTACAGCTCTTTTCAGCAGGAGAAAACAGACAAGTGACAACAAACACTAGTACTGTTTGGAGGAAAAAAGGCAACTTTTCAGTCACCTTGTGTATTTGCAACTACAGGACCCAGAACTTGCAAACCTGTGTTCCGGTAATGCCAGTGCTCTGGGAGGAATGAGGTGTCTCATCTCCCTAAATTACTCCTGTGGTTTTAATTGAGCATCATTTGCTTCACCTTAGCAGCTTGTGTGTGTGTCACAGGAGGGAACTCACCCCGAAGGAACCTCGGAGTCTTTGGTGACTGAGGTAACAAAGCAGCAGCACTTGGTGTGGCAGCGAGGAGAAAACAGCTCTTTGCTCCTTTTTCCCCTGCAACTTATCACTTTTATTGCTATAATTGCTTCTACAGTTTAAGCTTTTCAATGCTCGTGTGCTGTCCCTGCCAAGCACTGGGGAGGTGCTGCCCTGACCAGCACGTTGCTGCTGTCGTGACATGTCAGGACATGGGGACAGGGCACCCTAAAAACGCCTCCTTAGGGCTCTGCAGGGGTGCAGGCAGCAAAACACAGCGACTGCAGGGGCCCAGCCAGGTGTCTCAGCTCCCCGGGCACAGCAGTGATTTGGTTTATGCCAAACATCATCTCCAGCCAAAAACTCTCTACCCCAACCAGCTGGTTTTCCCTCTTCCCCTGCTGGTTAATTCCTCCAGCCTGGCATTGCACGAGGCTTTTAAACCTCTTTATAAACATTTGCCCCCTCTCAACCCAAAGCAGGTCCACAGGCACTCCCATCCCTGCAGCAGAGCAGGCAGCACACGCAACAGGGCGAAGCTAATTCAACAGGGTATCCTTAAAAAAAATAAATAAATTAAAAATAAATCAACAACTCCAACTGAAATCGGCTGTTTGCTGCTAGTCCAGGCTTTGCTAAGCTTGCACCTGGCTGACCATGTTCCCTGTGCCCTTGCCAGGTCCTGTGTCATGGGAGTGAGTGTGTGAGTGGGGAGAAGCTGAGGTGGTGCTGACGAGGCAAAATGCACATTGCACAACCCACAGGAGCTGCTCACGGGTTAATCTTACACCAGCAACAACCTGCCACCTACCTAGGATTTAAAAAAACAACAACTACCACCGTTTAGCCTCTACATCTGCTCCACTGAGACTTCTAGCTGGGGGGTTGAAGGGGGAGGAAAGAAAAAAAAAAGAGTGTTTCACATAAAACTGTAATATTTTGAATAGGCGCAGGGCCTGTGGTCAAAGTCCAGAGGGTACACGCTCAGCCAGCATCACGTGGGACGTGCTGCTCATAATCTCAGTCTTCCCTTTGCAGCTCAAGCACAGAAAACTGCATTTGAAACCACAGAGTCGAAGATCAACGGGCAGCAATATTCAGCTTGAGCATCGCTCCTTTCCATGTACTATTTCTGAATCAGTGCTCTAATGGGAACTGCTGCCCCTCCCCTTTTCTTCTTCCAGTGGAGAAATCTGCATATTTGCAGGTGGCTTCTCCAGTGTGGGATTCTCCAGGGAGTGATTCCCCCCGTCACAAGGAATTTGGGAGACTCTTGGATACATCTGCTGCCACCAGAGTTCAGATTTACAGCCCCAAACTGTGCTTAGCTTGTCATTAATATGGACTTCTGCTTTTGTTTTCCCCCTCTTCCAAAATCATATCCTATTAGTCATGACAGCCAAATGGGCCCTGTTTGGGCAGCAATTCAACTTCTTTGAAGCTCCCATCAGCATCAAGTCCCACTGGTCTAGAATGGGCTCACCTCTGAAGGTGAGGAACAGGCTGCAGGGACCTGCTGTGCCCAGGGAATTTTGCTATGGATTGCTCCATCCAACAAAAAAAAAATATCATTTTGCAACTTAGGGAATGAAGGCAGGAACGAGCACGGGGTGAAAGGCAGACTTGAACTGTATTTTATATTTTGATGGACTCTTGGCGAGCCCATCAGGGTCCAGGTAACTTGGCTGAGAACTATGAGCACAATGCTGGAGGCAACTGCTCATTTCTACCATGGAAAGGCCCCGAATAAAACTGTTGCTTCTGAATTCCAGGGGGAGTTTTGACCTTTGCAGCCCATGCTGTGGTTGTGCAGGAGGCAGATCAGCTCTGCTTGCTCACGTGGCACAGGTAGGGTCCCCCTGAACTAGGTGAGATTCCTTGCAGGGAATAAGCCTCGTGCAGGAACAACCCTCCTGCTCACATGTTCCCCTGACAAGCTGCATCAAAAAAAAAAACAAAACATTAATCTCTGGCAATTTCTCAGAACAACTTTGGAAAGGATTCAAAGCAGGGAGAGGGTTCAGCAGCTGGCTGGGGCTCTGGGCTGTATTTTAGAGAGCTGACGAGGAACCTCCTGTGCAGCACATGAAAGCTGATCCCGAAACACAGATTATGCCTCCCTTAATTCATCCCGAAGAACGACACCTCTGGTGCAAAGCCCCGGAGCTGAAACCCCTTCCCGAGCAAAACCTCGGCCTGAACAGCTGAACTTGGAAAAGTTATCCGTGTAAGGAATTCCAGCTCAGACACTGGGATTGCAGAGAGAGGGATGGACAGAAAAGGGACTCGAGAATGATGCCATTCATTGGGATCGTGTTTTGTGGGTTGGCTACTCCTGTTTTCCCTTTTTCCTGGTGCCGAGGAGGACGGAGAAGGACAGGGCTGGGGAGCACAGAGGCTGAGCAGCCCCCGGGGAGGGTGGGCTGCAGGGCCACCAGCACAGGTCCCTGCCTGTCACCAGCTCTGCACACTCAGGTTTTCCCACTCTGAGGCTTTTTGGGGACCCTCAGGCAGCAGCTGCCTCCCCTGCCCCTCCGAGGGTCTCCCAGGGACCCCCCAGCCAGGGGCAGAGTGCTGTGGGTATCACCAGGTCCAACCCTGCATTATCAAACTTCCTTGGCTCTTTCTGTCGGAAACTTTTACAATTCCCTGCTTGGCTGGAAAAGATGACTGCAGCAAACCCAAATTAGGAATAAATTATACAACAACTTTACATTTTTCTTACAAAGGAAAACTGTGTGGCAAGAGCTGTGCAAGCACCTCCTTCCCCATGTCCTCCCTGCAAGGATTACTGGGAGAGGCCACTGACTTCACAGATGGCTTATTAAAAATAAATAAATAAATAAATACAACAAGAGGCAGCCCCCAAACCCAGTCTGGGACCTGCTCCCACCGGGCCATGTGCTGCCTCTCACCCCCCCCAATCCCAAATATGTGCGAGGGCTGCAGGATGCAGGGAGAGCCAAGCTGCAACATCCAATCCAAGCGTTTAAAAGGCTCCAAAAGCTGCATCTGTGTGGCTGCTCGCTGACATATGGGCATCTATTTTCACAATGAATGGCCGGAGCAACTCCTCCTTAAACCTCTCCGCCTGCTCTTGCAGGGGCTGTTGCATTCCCACAGCATTTTTGCAATATTAAATTCTCCACCTCCTCCCCCCTCCCTTGCAGGACACAAGGCAGAGCCGCTCCGGAATAACCACCGAGTCAAACGCGAAGAGCGAGCGCTCGCCACCACGCTGGCAAAAATAAATCACTGCTGTCCCCTTCCCAAACCTCCCTCCCGCTGCCTCCGGGGGGCCGGGCCCCTTTCTGCCCTCCTGCAGCTCCGAAATGCTCCATTTCTGCCCTTTTGCAGCCTCCAAGTGCTCGATTCCTGCAGCTCTCAAATTTTCAACTTCTGCCCTTCTGCACCTCCCAAATGCCCCAATTCCTGCCCTTTGTGCAGCTGCTCAATGCTCAATTCCTGCAGCTTCCAAATTCCCCAATTTCTGGCCCTTTTGCATCTCAACTTCCTTTTGCATTCTCAACTTGTGCCCCTCTGCAGCTCCTAAACGTTCCATTCCTGCAGCTCCAAAACGCTCCGTTCCTGCAGCTCTCAACGTTCCATTCCTGCCTTTCTGCAGCTCCCAAATGCCCAATTCCTGCCCTTTTGCATCTCCTAAACGCTCAGTTTCCACCCTTCTGCAAGTTCTAAATTCTCAACTTCTGCCCTTCTGCAGCTCCTAAACGCTCCGTTCCTGCAGCTCCTAAACGCTCCATTCCTGCCTTTCTGCAGCTCCCGGATCCCCAATTCCTGCCTTTCTGCACCTCCCAAATGCTCCATTCCTGCCTTTTTGCACGCTCCGAGCGTCCTGGTGTGACAAACCCCCGCTGCTGCCTCTGACCAAAAGTTACCAAATATTAAAAGGGGGGGGGGAGAGGAATGGGTGGAAAATGATCTCAGCCCTGGCACGAGAACAATACTTTCCCATGGAAACATAGGTATATATTTAATTCCTGGTAACTCCACTCCAGTTTCACCTTTCATCTCCTCCGCGGACTTGTCTCAAAGTTTGCTTTAACCCCGCACCGAGCGCGGCTGCAGCTGCTCCTCCAACACCCCCTTTCCCTGCGTCCCGGCCGTGCCAAAGGCGGCCAGGGCTCGGTAATCCCGGGAGCGGATCCCGGCTGGAGCCAGCGCGGGGCTGCTGCGGCGCAAGGGAGCAGGAAATGCGGCGGGAGCTGCACCGGGAGCTGCACCCCCGGGACACGCGGGCGTGCAAACACGCGTGCACCCGCACACTCACATGCACCCGCACACTCACATGCACCCGCACATGCAACTGCACGCTCACATGCACGCGCACACGCGATTGCACGCGCACACGCGATTGCACGCGCACATGCGATTGCACACTCATGCACACGCACATGCAATTGCAAATTGCACGCTCACATGCACCCGCAGCCGGCGCTGCACCCCCGAGCTCTGCGGGCGTGCAAACACCCGTGCACCCGCACTCGCACCCGCACCCGCACCCGCAGCCGCTCCTGCACACGCGATTGCAGCGGCTCCCGCACAGGCGACTGCGGTGCACATGCAAAGGCGCTCAGCCCCGCACACGCACACGCACATGCACACGCACACGCCCGTGCAATTGCACCCGGCCGAGGTCCCGCCGCCGCCCCCGCAGCCCTCGCTCACCTCGGGGCTGAGACATTGTCCCCCGCCTGGCCTGGGGGGAAGGGCGCGCACAAAGACTTCCCCCGTGCGGCTCCTCCAAAAGGGGCGAGTTGCCCGAACAAAGATGCGGCGCTGCGGCCCCGCTGTCCGCGGCCAGCCCCCGCCTGCAGCGGGGCGGCGGTGGCGGCGGGGCCCGCGGGGCTGGGCCGTGCCCGGGCCGGGGGTCCCTGCGCGGGGCCGGCGCGGCTGCACCTACATGATGGGCCGGGGCGGCCGCCCCGGCCTCGGAGCGGCGGGGGCGCGCTCTGCGCGTGCGCCGCGGCCGCGCTGCCTCCTGGGGGATGTAGTTCCGCTGTGCCCCCCGCCATGGCCGGCAGGGGGGGCGAGAGGGGGGTCCTGGTGGGGCGGGAGGGGTTCGACCCGCTCCGCTCCAAACCACGGCCCTGTTTTCTGTTTCCAAACATCCCTTTTCTGCCGCTCCTCCTTCAATTTTTTCTTTTTTTCCTTTTTCCTTTTTTCTGTGCTTTTCTTTTTTCATTTCTTCTTTTTTCTTGTCTTTCGTTTTTCTTATATATTTTTTCATTTTTCCTTTTTCTTTTTTATTTTCTTTCTTTTTTCTTATTTCTTTTTTCTTTTACTTCTTTTTCTTTTCTCTTTTACTTCTTTTTTTCTTTTCTCTTTTATTTCTTTTTTCTTGTTTCTTTTTTCTTCTTTCTTTTTTTCTTTCTTTTTTCTTCTTTCTTTTTTCTTTC